CCGGGTCTTCTGCAAGAACAGCCAGTGTTCTTAACCACTGAGCCATCTCTGCAGCCCAAGGCTCACTCTTTTAGACCAAAGGGCGTGGGGCTGCTCTGGGCAGCTGGCCAGCCCCACTGGAAAACCAGCACCTGGCACCAGGGACAAAGAGGCTGAGGGGACCACTCAGTGGTATTAGTGATCTCCTTAAAGGACAATACATACACACAATGGTGCCTTTTCATATAGGATTCCTGTGCTCCAGATACCCTCTCCTCTCTGGAGACCCATACGTCTGCTGGCTGGCTCCTTTTCAGGCCTTGGCCTAAATATCACATACTTCAGCAAGCCTTTTCTAGTTTGCAGATGGAGGCAGCCTCCTCCATTCAATCTTGAACCATACATAGTATTGACTCCCCACTAATAATAACAACAGTAACAGTATTTCAATAGCACTTACTATAATGTTCGGGGCTCCTTAACCTGTGCTACCTCATTTAATCCTTTCAACTACCCTATGAAGTATGCAGTATTATTATCTCAGTTACAGATGAAGAAACTGAGGCACAGAGAGTTTAGATAACTTTCCCAATGTCTGTCAGCAATAAGTGGTACAGCCTGGGTAGAACTCGGCTGGGGGGCTCCAGAATCTATACCCTTACTTCAAACTCCCTGTGGATAGAGACAACAGCTGATTTGTGTCTGTTCTCGTACAGAATAGCTGCTCAGGAAAGATGGGCTGACTGAGCAAGTAAGGGTATGAATGAGGGGAACTCTGTGCAATTTCAGCCCATGTGTTGTAGTCCAGAGACACCTACGCCACCCAGGAAGCCTAAAGTAAAGGCATCTTTCCCATCTGGCTTCTCGTAGGGACACACACGTACATGCCTGCAGAGGGTCCTGTCCTGCTGTGGCTGTTGTCACTCGTGTCCCGGTTTTTGTTTCACAGTTATCTTTTCCTTTGTCTTCCTCCTTTGTGTGCCCTGGTCATGCTTCCCATGGTTGTCCCACTTCCAGCCCTTGTCCTGGCCTCAGTCCTTGCAGGCTCTCAAGCTTCCTGCCCCCCATCCTCTGTCTTGGGGCTTCTGTGAAGAGTGCAGACTTGCCTGTGAAGGCTGAGAACAGGAGCAACATTGACTCTTTAAATTGACCAAGGTTAGTGCTCCAATACCCTGACCCTGAATAAAAACAGCAATTTCATGCTCCCTCTTACAGATGAAGGTGGAGGCCCAGGAGAGTGGTTGCTAGCTACAGCTTGCCACACTTCCAGATCAAAAAGATCCCCTGTTCTCACTGTGTTCTCTGCAGGGCCCCAACTCCTCTAGGAAGGCTTCCTTGATCATGTGAAAAAGGTCATTTATGCAACCATTCAGCAAATATATTTTAGTATTCTAAGTGGAGGAACAAGACACACTCCTGAAAAGCTAGGGTAACTGTAGAATTTAGTAGATGTAATGAACATCATAAGAGTCAACTGAACTGTGGATAATCCATGGTTTCAAAACAGACAGCTGAGTGACCTAGGGCAAGTGGTCCACTCTCTCCAGGCCTCATCTCCTTAGCTAGAAAATGGGGACTATGATGCAACTCTTTGGAGGACTGAATACAATAGTTTTTGTAAAGCTCTGAACACAGTCTGGTACAGAGTAGCTCTCTGTAAGCAGTAATCATTGATTCCCTTTTTTATATGAACCACTACCTGCTACTTAGCCCTGGCCTCTTAGGTGACAATACAGAAATTACTTCATTCTTTCAGGTCAGAAATGTTGACTTAGATGGTACCTGGTAAATGGATGGGCCTGGCAAGTTAAGGGTCACTGTGTGATGATACTGATAGTTTGCTAGGATTGTTCATACCATTCCTTTCCCCCTCACCAAACCTTTGAAAGGAACTGATGGGGATGGACTGAATCAACTATTAAGTTCAAATACAAGTTCAGTTCTGTTGGAGACATGGAGGTTTGCCTATTACTATATCCTCCACTCTTAAAATAGTGCTAGGCACATATATAGTAGGTGCTCAATAAGTAGTTACTGAGTAAGTTTTTAAAGAAGCAGCTGCTTTTCTCTTTCCCTTCAAATAAAAGAAATAAGGGTGTGGGGTGTAGGAGGAGCAAGTGAGTGAATGGCAGGGTACAGGGGACATCAGGGACAGGGAAATGCAGATGCCAGACCTGCCAACCTGGACTTCTCCGCAAAGGGGATACAGCAGGGTCAATGATCTGTACTCCCACTGCCAGGATGTGAGGGAGCTGCTATGCGCTTGGCTTGTGGTTTAAGCTGCAGTTTACAGAAGAAGGGCAAGGGTGACACAGAGACCTGGAAGGAGGGGACAGAGGGAGACCTGGAGGAGAAGGGTGAGAGATGAGCAGAGTAGTGTGAAGGCAAAGGGAGATGGAGAGATGCTTGAGGAGAAAGCGCACAGGAGGGATAGTAGGAAAGATGGAGGACTGACAGTTTACAAGGCACCTGCAGGCCTGGCCTGGCTGGAATGAGGCTTAGCCCTCTGAGTTCTCTTGGTGCCTCCCTCAGGGGAGGCTCTGTCAGGAGATTTGGGGATGTTTCTAGGTGCCAAGCTTTGGAAAGTTCTCAATCCCTGAAATGCCAGAGTCTTTTCCTTCTATCGTTTCCAAATAAGGTTCTATCCCAGGCCCTAGGTCACCCCTAGACAGGAAAGAGACATCTGAGGCAGCACAGGGAAGGAAGAAGGCCTGAAAGACTTAGGTCCCAAGTGGTGCTTGGTTTGTTTCTTCCTTTCCTCCACATCTCCTGGCCAAGAAAGTGGGTCAAGCCACCCACATGTGACTTTCTGATACAGAGAACCTATAGCCCAGGGGGCTCTGGGGCCCTGACACACCCCTGCCCATACCTGCTCATTTGGAGGGCGGTTTAAGTGGGCCACTGATGGGAGGATGCTGGTCTCAGGGAGAACATCTGCCAGAGTAAAGGCGGGCCAGGGGGCATGCAGCCTACAAGTAAAAATGCCTAGGTCTTCTCTCCGGTCTCCTGCACAATGGTGAACAAGCTGGCAAGGGGCCACTGCTGCTGTCCTGACCTGGGAAGGCTGCTCTCTACACTGACCTCCTCCTAGGGTCATCAAGCAGAGGCCCTGCCAGTCCATCTCAGGCAACCAGCACTGTGCCCAGCCCACCCCCTCCAGCCCTGCCAGTCGCCCAATTAGAAGCTGCGTTGGCTCCAACAGATGGGAGCTGCGGCAGCCTGAGGAACAGAGCACAAAGCCCAGCTGACATTTTCCTTCCTGTTCGTTCAGCGGAGGAGGAAGGGCAGGGACAGCGCGGAGCACCGCAGCACCCCCAACCAGGGCCTCCCCTGGGGGGGGGGCAGCTCTCCCCACCTCTCCTGCGTCTGGTCTCCGCTGGGCAGCCTCACCCCGCCACTCGCGGCTCTGAGCTGGCTGTGCAGCCTGCGCCCGCACAGCCCTGCCATGCCAACAGGACAGACGGCCCACCTGTGGCTGGCCAGCCCAGCCGATCGCCGGCGTGCTGCGGCGGCCTCGGAGCTATCTTCGATTTCCGCGGCTTCCCGCCGCTCAGCGCCTAGGCTGAGCACGGTGGTCCCCTCCCCCACCGAAAGGTCCCATCCGAGGCTCGTCTAGACTCCAGCGGCCGCCGGGGAGGTGCCGGGCTCCGGGTACCAGATACTTCGGACAGACCCCGGGCTTCTTGTCCCCCTGAGCTAGGAAGGAGAGTCCCCCAGGCTCCGGGGCGCTTCCATCCCGCTAGTCCGCCTCTGTCACACCCTCCCGGTACCACCTCTCAGGTCCTCCTCGTCTCCAGGGCTCCACGCTACCTAGCAACAGTTTGGGGGTTTGGGTACTCTCTGGGTGGGCTGGGGCCAGGACCCGGATCCCAACCGCTTGCATCCAGGGGGTTCCAGGCCCCTCACGTGCATCCTCCGGCTGTCCTTTACGCGCCCCTCCCGGCCTTCCCGGATTCCCCAGCTCCGCTTCAGGCATTTCGGCCACCGCCTCGGCCTCGGCCGCCCTCCCCACCCCCACCCAGTCACCTGAGACCCTCGCAGCCACGCCAGCGGCCTCGGCGCCCACCACCCCGGCCGCTGCCCGGGAGTCGCGCACTCACCGCGCGGGGCTGTCTGTCACTCGCCGCCCGGAGGGATGGGGACGCTACTCCGCGTCCTCCCGCCGCCGCCCAGGCCCCGGAGCTCGCCGGGCGCCTTCCCTGGCGTGCACTTGTCCTGGGAGTGGTCGCGGGGCCCAGCCGGCCAGGGCGACGGCAGAATCGCCGCGTCTCCACCCCTGCGCGCAGCGGCCGGAGGCTGTAGGCCAGGGCTGGGCGCTCCCGGAGCGCCGCGTCTCCCAGTGCAGCGAGCAGGCCCGCGGCGCCCGGCGCCCCCGCCGCGCCTCCTCCCTCCCGGCCGCTAGCGCTCGCCCTCCTCACTCGCTGCTGCGCGGCTCTCCCAACCTCCCCAGCCCACTCCGGTCGCCTCCTCCCTGTCTGCTTGCCACGCCAACCCCCTCCAGTCCCGCTGCCATTTTAACTCCTGAGTGACCAGAGGCGCCCTTTGCCTAAAGCGCTCACACCCTAGAGGAAGGAGTTGGGTGGGGCCCAGGGCCGGATGTCGTAGCTGTAGCTGTCCTCCTGCATGGAGACCCAACACTTAACCCAGAGAGGGATAAAGGGCCTTTATTTATTGCGCTCTGGTTGGAGAGGAGAGCAGGATGGCTCTGCGGATGCTCCCTCTGACCCTCTTGGAAAAGCCAGGAGGACAGATGGGAAATTCAGCTTGGAGGACAGGTGTGGCTCAAAGGCACAGCATGTACCCGAGACCACATTTCTGCCTTGCATGGTGCTACCCGCCTCAAGTCGACAGTGGGCTAAGGAGAGTAGTGGAGGTTAGACTGTCCATGAGCACAGGCGTCTCTCTTGCTAAACGGGGGAGTGGAATAGCTTTTACAGCATTTCTTCCAGAACCGGGAGTGGAATAGCTTTTACAGCATTTCTTCCAGAACCGGCAGCTCCAGCCTCGGGACACTTAGTAAAGGAGGTTAATCTCAGTGGGATTGAGGAAGGAAATAACACCACACAGGGACTTGGCTGTAGCGTTCTCCATGCTGCAGGCTGGCCACCCTGAAGCCCTAAACTGGGAAGTGGAGCAGGAGCCCAGGCCTGCAGAAAACAGGTGCTGGGCTGCTGCCTGGTGGCTTAGAAAATTTCGGTCAGTGCCACATGTGGGGGCTTAGAAGAGAGGGTCTCCTGTGCAGTGCAGGTTTCAGGCCCAGGTCTTTAAGAGGCCTTTAGTGTGGACCACTAAGAAAGGACACCAGAGCTCAGCTTCATGGCAGGCCGCACCCCATCAGAACCCGGAAAATCAATGGGGGTGGGGAGGGCCGGTGGAGCCCAGTATGGGGACTCCCGCACCACAGGGCCTCCTTAGACGGCAATCATTAGACTTCACCTCCGTGCCCCTGCCAGACAGACAGAGCTTCTGTGTCCTGTCTTTTCTAAGGGCACAACCAGCACTGACAGCCATGCAGAGGCTTGGAAAGTGAGCTTCAAGGACTGTGTTCTAAATGCACAAAGGAGTTGACACCTTAATCCATCCAATAAGAATGTACTAAATTCCTGTTGAACCACTCCCATGTTCCCACCCTCCACCCCTGCTGTGGGGTATAATGGCTTGGAGGAGCAGAGAGGGACAAGTTGGAAGTACATGAAACAAATTTTAGCATTTTAAGGCATTGGAAAGTGCCATAGAAACACAGGAAGAAAATGCCATTATAAGCTCGGGTTATTCATGGAAGATTTTATAGAGGAGCTGAGCTTCCAGCTGAGCCCAGCTGGACGGATAGGTTTTAAACTGGCAGAGAAAATGGGGACCTGCAAGGCAGGAAAGTGGAGGCAAGCACAATGGAATGGGCTGTCTGGAAGGTAGGGGCAATGGAAGAATTGTATAGAGGCACTATTAGATGCCCCGCCTTTTCGCATCTCTCTTGTCTTGAGTTGACTTACATCCCCATTTAACAGACCAGAGAGAGAATGGAGGCAATTTTAAGGAAGCAGCCATAGCTACTGGCAGAATTTGAGCCCTCATCTTGGCAGCACTCTTGATTTAGTGCTACCTCAAGTAGGAGCCGCTGATAGAGAGCCTGCTGTCTGGGCTCAGCAATTCATCTGTGGCTCAGTGCACAGTGATTTGGGATAAAAAGGCCAGGGTCTGGGGAGGTAGGTGGCTGCTACAGAGACACGAAGGGAAGGGAGCAGTAGGAATGGACAACAAATACTATGGCCTATGTCAGGAAGACTTCACAGAACCTCAGTGAGGAAGGGTTCAAAATGTGACTCCAAGCTTTTGAGTTGGAGTTTATGGGCCGCTTGCCAAATCACTGGTGCCATTTTTCTAGTCTGAAGACTACCATCAATGTATGTAGACTGATGGTGAAAAGGAGATTTTGCCATTCCTTCCCAGCTCCAGGGCTGAGCTGGCACTCACAATGCCCTGCCTCCTATTACCCACATCACCAAGGGTGTTTTACCCCAACCAGAGGGAAAACTCTGGGAGGCTATATCTGTCCCATGCAGCATCAAGACAAAACTGGGACCCTACAGTGGATGCCCAACAACTGGTTACTGCTGCTGTTGTGCTTTTTGAGACAGGGTCTCTCTAGTTAGACTAGACTCAAACTTTTGATCCTCCTGCCTCAGCTTTTTGAGTACTGGGATCACAGGCATGTGCCAGCACACCTGGTAGTAATGGATTAGTGAGCAAACACATGGTGTAAAAGCAAATAATATTTGCCACTGACTGATTCCCGAGTGGCAGACCCTGTTACATCCTAGGTGAACATAGGAAAACTGTATCAGCTAAAAGGACGAAACGGGAAGGCCTGTGCCTGAGCTGATTCCAAGCTTCTAGCAACCCAGTGGGAAAGGGCAGAGAGATCTGGGTTTGAAACCTGCTTGTCCACTTATTTTGTGTAGCTTCAGGGAAAGTACTGAACTTCTCTTTCCTGTGTAAAAATTGTTAATTTTTAAACTAAGTAATAGCAATCAATGTTTAAGTAAAAAACAGCAATGAACACTTACTGAACAGGAACTAAATGCAATGGTAGTGATCTCATTTATGAATAATCTAACTGTGAGGCATCGTGATGCATGCCTCTACTCCCAGCTGCTTTGGAGGCTGAGGCAGGAAGATCATGAGTTCGAGGACATTCTGGGCAAGTTATCAAGATCCTATTTCAAAACAGAAGTACAGGGCTGGAGAGATGGCTCAGTAGTTAAGAGCACTGACTGCTCTTGCAGAGGACCTGGGTTCGATTCCCAGCACCCACATGGCGGCTATGAACTGTTCTTAACTCCAGTTCCAGGGGAATCCAAAACCCTCTTCTGACCTCCATGGTATTGCACAACATGGGTGCACTCACTTACATGCAGGCAATACACTCATGCACATAAAATAATAATAATAA